AAACACACAAGGCTTTAGAAAGGTGTCTCCATGGGCCAGGATTTTGAGCCTGTTTGAAGGAAAGAGCAATACCCCCATCATGGAATTGCTTTGTAGTCATGGGCTCAATTTGATTGGGTTCAGAAGAAACAAAAAACTATTGATGAGAGCATCCTGTTACTTTCAGTTTTCCAGTTCTTTTTTCTTATTTTGCCTTCTTCCTGCACTCTCTCTTCATAGTAAGTGGTAAATCAATGTGCCCTTAATGGATTTTGAGCCCCACATGTTAGTGTACTCTATAGTGTGTGTATTTTTATTGATTTATTTATTTATATTTCGATTTGATTATTTTGGAGGAAAAAAAGAGAAAGAATAGTAGTAGTTCCATTTCACAACATTAAATTGAAGAGTGTTTAGATAGTATCTGAGTTCTTAGATAGTAAAGAAAATATGAAGATTGCATTGATCTACAGTCAGAACTTAGTAAATTAAGTTAAATAGAAATTGATCATTTAATGATTAGTGATTCAAGAGGATAAATTATTTATTTTTATTTCTTATTATGCAAATGAAAAATTCAATGAAATGAACTTTTTAGTGCAAAAATACTCCTCATCCCTTCACATGTTAACAAGGATGGAAGGATGGAATCTCACCTTTCACAAAGCCTGACACATAGACTTGGCAAAGAAGTAGTGTACCTCCAAACCATGTCACAAAACAGAGACTACTCAACAATAAATAAGTAATTCATGCATCTTTCTTGATATATGCTAACCTTGATTTAGAAGAAATACAATACAATTCAAACCTCATGCCTCTCTATCTATCTATCTATCTATCTATCTATATATATATAAGAATGGACTGGTGTAAGGGTTCTGGACTTTTGCTAAGCCACTGAACATTTATTTTTACGAGTTTTATTTTTTATTTTTTTTATTAATAAGTTGAATGTATTAATAAAAGAATAGTTAGATTGTGATTTGTTGACGTTTAGTGCTATGTTATCCTGGCAAGGTCATTCAACTTGAGTCTATGTTAAACATGGATGTATTCTCAACTTATTGAAACACATTGACTCCAGAAACAATTTCTTTTTTCCACAAAGATGTTTGTTAACTTTTTGATGTCACTTAGCCCAGAGAATCTAGGTTTGTCTCTTTGCCTTCAACAACTTTGTCACGGCTTTCAACTCACCTGCAAGGCTCCAACATCGCCAGGATATCAAATAAAACTTCTGTGTGTGCAAAGGAGGTGAAATCACACTACTTCAGTTACAAACACAACAAGCGAAGAGTGAAGAAAGGCTCACTCACTTCCCCTCACAGAACACACACATCCACCGCTTCCTCCCTTTTTCGGTAAGTCAAGCTTTTCAAAGCCTCTCATGCAGGTTCCAGGTTCACAATTTCTGAGTCTGTACAGCTCTCCAATTATATATGTTTTATTACAAGGGCAGTAACGACAGACAGATCTAGTCAAACTCTGCTCATGACTCCCTCACTCAAATTCAGCAGAATCAGAACAATAAACCACCCTGCTACTGTAGTACGCTGCAAAATCTTAAAGCTCTTCAAAAAATATCATATCACGTTTAAATACTCAACCATTTTTTATTAAATATACAATAAAAGGAAAAACCCACCTTAATCTCATCATTGGGTCCACACAGATTACAACGACAAAAACAATTCCTCGAACCCCAACTAAACAAACCATATTGTTCTCAACCTAATCATGACCTCCGGGTCCCACACAAGGGGGATCTACTCCGGGTGCTGTTGTTAGTTGTAGCCGTGATTATACGCCAGTGTGAACATGCTTGCTTGTAAGGCAAAGCCCATAGCAAGCTACACACACAACACTAAACCCTCGGAGCAGACAGAGAAAATAGCATCTTTACAAAAAAAGTAAGTAAGACCAAAGCCACGACGTTCGCTACCGCAAAGCCAAAATCTCAAACCCCAAGGCAAACAAGTAAGCAGATGACAGGTGACATATGCCGGGCATGCACCGAGCGCAACGTGGCAGTCTGCAAGCAAGCACCTTATCTGCGTTTCCCGCCATGTATCTGACCTGGCCCCACCACGAAACAAAAAGGGACAATCGTTCAAAGCAAGGATGAAGCTTCCATCGTTCACGTAACATCCATCCATAATCGTTTCCTGAGCTGGACACTTCCAAGTTGACGTGGCAAACCGCCATACGTCGCCCACCCAGTAAAAATCGAGCTGGCGTCGATGAAGTGCGGATGAAGAAGTGAACGAAGGTGAGGATGAAGGCCACGAGGTGGGGGCGGGAGACTTGCGATGGACGACGGAGGGTCGGGACATTTCCCTTTGGCGGCTGCGGGACCTTGGATGGATGGATGGATGATAACATGGGCAACGAGGGGAGTCAGTGTGGGGGGGGGATTGCTTGAGGGATGAGAAATGGGGTTGGGGTTGAGGGGTATGAGCCCGGGTTGTTCCTATTTATCAGTTGTTTAGAGTTAATGCCCTCTGAAGGGATTCCACGTGGCGTAATCTTTAGGGTCATCATATCTGGCGCTGTGGGGGTGGGAATCCCCGAACTGGGCGCGATAACAGGCTCTCTCCGTGGTGATCATGATGGAGGTAAAGGCGGCGCCCTCGGTTTTCGCATGGATGAATGAAATAATTTCGACGATCGTGGCCCATGGATGGATGATATCTTTGCGAAGGTTCGGCTACGTGTCCCCACTTTTTTCCCTCAAATTAAATTTTACTGTGTCAGAGTACTGTGGTTGAAATCAATGAGATTATTATTATTATTATTTTAGATGGGTGAATAGCATTCTGCATTAGTTACAGGAGAGCACATGGAGGCGTTTGATTCCAATTGATTGTAAGTGTTATGCACAATGAGATTTTTGAACCTTGAAAACATTGTTTGAAAGAGATTTTTCCTTCTTGATACAGATAGTTGAGACTCACAATAAATGCCAAAAGAACCAAGAGAGTATTTCATTAGAAACATGATGATTCTACAAAAACTGACAGACAATTTAATATTAAAAAATAAAAAAAAGGAAGACGGCCAATAGGACATCCAAAAAATAAGAAGGTATAGCATTGCAATGGAAGTCATGAAGTAGTACTAATCTAATAGGTATGTATGTATGTGCTTGTCATTATATTTATGATGGTAAAATTGCCATGCATGAAAATTTTCATTGTTAGACAAGAGTTCAAGAGCTAATGTGATGTAAATAATAAAATTATAAATCAGTTTCTTCTCTTGGTTTTAACAAAAAAAATATAAAATAATTTTGCTTTTATACTTCATCTCAAAAAAAAAAAAAAACAAAACAAAACAAAAAAAAAATATTAAAATTATTATTATTATTATTATTATTATTATCCTATCAATTTTCAGTATATATAAGCAAAAAGAATCAAGAAAAAAATATATGAAAGGAGCAATGTTTTCACCCTTCTTGGTAATATTCTACTTTGGACACAAAGGAATAATGAGTCAAAAGAGGACATGTCAAATAGTCCACACTAAATAAATAGCCTGCAAAGAGGGCGATGCGGGGGGCCAAGGGACATGAGAAGATCACCACAGGACATGGCGTGAGCTGGAGCCATTCATTCCCGGAATGGAGCTCAGACATGGTGCATGCGTGGCCTGGGGATGGATGGATGGATGAATGAGTAGATTCAATGAACTTTGGCTGGCATCCCGCGTGGCTTGGAAGCCAGGAAACACGAACACATCCATCCTCCGTACACTGCCCTTGGATGTGGCCAAAAAGGAACAGAGTGTATGCATGCATGGATGGATGAATAGTTGGATGGATGCCGCTGTGGATGGATAAGATACATTGGTTAGTTTACAAACACTGGGTGTTACATAGTTGTGATATGAGTTAGAATTGAACTTCTTTGATATAAAACTATGAGGCAGTGAAACAAGGTGATCACTCTAAATGAAAATGATTTGGTCACTGAAGCATGATCTTGTAACCATAACTAATCAATTTTGGATTTTCTTCTTAGTAATGTTTCTGAAACAATCGTAATCAATTTTTGTAACATCAAAAGAATAAAAATGGACAAGTATGACTGCAAACAACAAAAACGAGGGAAAAAAATGAACACAAAAGGAAAAGGAATAAATAAATAAATAAAATCAAGTCTCTTGAAGTCATCATTTTATATAAAGAGGCTTCAACTCCATTTCAAATTGTTTACTTACTTATGATGAAAGATATGGAATTTTGACTGTAGAACTGTGGATCCCTTGTGGTCAGGGCTAAGATGGTCACCAATTTTCACAAAGAGGCAATAAAAATAATAAAAACAATTAAAACCACTTGCAATTTGCTCAACTATCTTCTACTGTTATGAAGTGGGGAAAATGTCACATTATCTTGTGGTTTTCTTCATTGACATTATCACAAAATAGTGCAACTTCATGTGCATGTTCATATAATGATTATTATCACTTGGACTTTAAATCCCATACTTTTAAACTGTAATAGATGTAGAAAATTTTCAAAAGAAATAATTGGTATAAAATTTAGTATTGCATTATTATTTGAACCATGGAGTTGAGACCAACACAACAAGGCTCAATCTGCAAGGGACCATGCTCTTTGAAGTTCATTGAGGGGCATGCTTGCGTGTGTGAGTCAAAAGCACCACCACCACCTCTGAGGCAGAGAGAAGCACCTCATGTGCACCCCACATCACATTACAATAGCTGCAAACACTTCCTGTTTGCCAAATAAAACGCCGAAAACTATGCTTTCTCGACCTTGTTGGAGAATGTTATGGCAATTGTGATGGGCCACCAAACAATTATAGGCCATTTCTTGCAAGTAAGGTACATGTGTAAGTTATGCAAAATCTTACGTGGCATTCATTCAACCCTACCTCATGAGGAAGAAAAAGGGAGTAAAATAAATAAATAAACCAAAACTCATTCACAAATTGATACATAGAATGGATTCATTGTATCTAGGAATCTATTGTAATTGGACACAAACAAGGTAAAGCAAATGCAGTTGTGTGGATCATTGCAAGAGAAACATTTGTTTGTTTGTTTGTTTGTTTGTTTGTTTGTTTGTCTTTTGTTTTCCCCTTCACATATATAGACATAATTCTTTGATGAGTTGTAATAGACATCATTGTCTAATGACGGAGAAACCCAATTGGGTTTGTTCTTTCAAAGCAATGAAAAAGCATCCATCCTAACCTACTTGACATGGAAGATCCTTCCTTCAAAGCACACAAGGGTTTCGTGTGGAGGCATCTGACCCGAGCTTTGTTGGTTGCAACCATGAAGTGGGTTGCCTATCTGATGGTGTCACCAGAGCTTGACCTCAACCATCCTTCGTGAATATGTGGGGGCTGCTTTTGTGACCTTGACAGCTTGTTTGTTACAACAAGAGTGTATGTGCCCCTACCTTTTGTTCCTATTCTACTGATGGAGATATGATGGATTTCACACATACATGTACCCACGTATACTTCCTTCTCAAGGCAGACTCACTCACTCTCTCTCTCTCACACACACACACACACTCACCTATTTCAGCTCCTTTATGTATTGCAGAAAAGGGCTTCTGACAGTGGGCTCTTTGGTTCCAGAACAGGAACCAAAGCAAACTCTCTCTTTGAGTCGTATTGTGCCTTGACCAAGAACCATAACACACATGTGGTGAAAGAATACAAAGCTTCAACTTTGAGCTCTCTCCATTTCATTGAAGAAAGAGGAGTGGGTCCTTTCTTCTACTTCTTTTTGTTTTGGATGCTGGGTCCTCAACAAAGAACAAGTGGTAGAAGAGCATCATATATGCCTCTCTTGTGAAGAGGTTCAGGGGTTTGAATGTTGTTGGATATATTGTGTCCATCTGGAGTGTGATAAAAAATGAAAAAAATGGAAAAAAAAAAAAAAAAAAAAAAAACTTTGGTTTAGGAACTTTGGAGCCCCTTGTTTTAGAAACAACAATAACAAATATGAAGAAGAAGACAAGCAGCCAACAAATTATTAATGGTTGAATAACTAAGGAAATAGACACTTGCAGTACACACAAAATAAAAACTAAAAAACTCAAAGCACAAGAATCTTTCAATGCTCAAGCATGAAAGTTTCATATTTGAAATTGAATTTCAATGTGTTTGGTGATTCAAATATCAAAATGAGATGATTATTCCTTTTATTTGTAGGTGTAATTAAAATTATTGTCATCACCATCATCATCATTATCGTTTCTTTTGTGTGCAGAAGACAAAAAGCCATTCATTTGTAATGATCAAGAATATGAAGGCACACAATTAAATAATCTCAAAAGGGGGGGGGTCTGATACTTAGAGGAATACTTACCAAGTGTAGAAGAAGAAAAAGAATATGCTTCCAAGTTGGTGTATATGTGAAGCCAAACCCATGATCCCAAGGTACTCATGGCCATGATCACGGACACCATTAAAACACGGGTTAGCAGCTAACTAATTTCCCAATCACACAAATGTTGGGATTAGGTGTGTATTACTCTAAAACTCATGAGACTCACGCAACTTAATCATCAGTTTATTGCAAACCTGCTGGAAGCCCCACACAAGCCTAGCATGGCATGCAAGAGCTTCACAGCTTATTACAGAGAAGAGAACCATGTGACAATAAACTTCACATTTTGAACCATTAGCAATGAAAATTTTCTTATTGCTCTTGATTTCAAGGGTGTAAATCCTTGGAAATCATTATGTTATTTTCTTAGTTCTAATTTAAAATTTATATTTAAAATTTAAAAATACATATAAACAAACAAACAGTAATTACCAATGGGAAGTATGAAGGTTTGTGACACCAGTGTGCCTTGGTGCCACTGACATAATAGTCTTTTTGACATTGTTGATGAGTAGATTTTTTTGTTTTTCCTTCTTCTTCTTCTTTTTACATAGTTTTGAAATATCTTTGAATGTTGCCAATTTGAATGTATAAATAGTATTATTATATCTTTGGTGGGTGTGGGAGTTGGGTTTGGTCCACCCATAAAAGGTGTGGGAGTTGGATTCAGTCACCATCACCAAGGTTTATGGCAATCCTTGCTACCAACTCTATCCCAGCAGGTGGCACTGGAAGGCGCCTTAATTTTGCTTCTTCCTCTTCTCCATATAGAATTCTTGCATATATCTTTAACTCCATAGTTGAAGGGCATCTGTCCCCGTGCACTTAAAACTTATGTTGATTTTGTTTAATTGCCAAGCTTCATGAAGAAATAATATAAGACAATGCTAAACTCTCTGCAGGTTAATTGAGTATGTTCCCTGCCATATAAAAACTTGCAAGTTTTCAGTTATTAACACAAATGGCACATATGTCTCAAATAGCACAATGCAATTATCAATCTGTGGAAGGGTTGTTTTAACTTCTTTAATCTTGTAATCTGAAATCTTATTACAGGAGTTTTGAAAAAGTCTTGTGTTAAAAAAACCAACATTTTCAGGATGGAATGTTTGTTTGTCTATTATATCTAAATATATAAATGAGACAATCTTGATTGATAAATATATTTCATAAGTTGATTGAAAATAGATGCACTCATTATTATTTTTTATTTATTTGTTTTTTACACAGCCAGAGGAGTATACCCAATACATTGATTAGGGTGTGTATGTGTGTTAAGTACAAGGCATAAAGATGCACTCATCTCAAACTCTATATCTAGATCCTCCAACAATGTTTTATTATTATTATTATTATTATTTTATTTTATCAGTTTGTGCTAAATAGTTATTCAACTGTCAATTAATATTTCTTTTATTCTGCTCTAACAGAGAAAGGGAAAAAGAAAAAAAAAGAATGGTGTATATATATATATATATATATATATTCCATCACATATATGACAGATTTGTGGAGTTTCATATCTTTACAATTGTGCAGGACTTTATCCAGAAATAAAAGTATACATCTCATCAATATTTGCATTTGATGCCCATCAATCATTCATACACACTCCCAGGCAGGTCAAATTTGTATAAGATGCCCCTCTCTTTGTTTTCGGAATTTTTTTAAAGAATTAAAATAATTTAACTCATTTATTCCACCTGGTGCATATTGTTTGCATCAAGTAAGGCAAGGCTTGTGGTACCAGACCACAGAATACAAATAAATAAATAAATATATATATATATATATATATATAAAAACGTGCATAGAAGTTCATATGCAGCAATATGTCAATCTCTCTGCCTTGGGGAAAAGGAAGAGTGAGGAGTAAAAGGAAACTACTTGACGATTGTGGAATTTACTTATATATTAGTAGATAAGAGAAGTTGGTGGCACAGACTCTGTTGAGCCTTGTTATGTGTGTGAGAAAGAGCAACCAAGAAAAGAAAAGAAGGGACGCAGCTCTTCCAATCGCATGCACTCCCATGGAGACCAAGTGAGCTGGCAGATGAGTTGGCAAGTGATGAGTGGAACCTTCGAGCATGAGCTGATGTGGCAAGGCAATCTCTTTCCAGTGGAGCTGGGCTTGCTTGGTCATTGTATGCAGGCTGGACACACAGAGACTTTGAACCCATAAATGCGATCCTGAATTCCATTAAGCATCGTTCCTCGAAGTAAAAATATAGGAAAAAAAGATGGTTCTAAGGGCAAAAGAATGAGTAGATCTTCTCCAAGCGTGACAAGAATGTCTCCTAAATAGAGAAGAGAGAATTGTAGTATTTTCATCTGTTGAATGTGTGATTGTGAGGCCCATTTCCCATCGTGGGGTTTCTTTCCTTTTAGGTGTGAGCAGGGCTTGCTGGCCACTGTCTGACTGCCAGGGCATTTGTGCACGTCCAGTTGAGCCAGGCAGGCGGTAGCCAGCAGCTGACAGAAAGGATGCAAATTGACTGATTGGAAGTGCCAACCCAGACACCTCTCTCGGCACACCAAAATACTAGGAAATCCTAAATAACACAAAACAACAATACGAGTAATAACGCTCCCATTCCACACGCCTCCCAATCAACAAAGTGGGTATCACGTTGACCATCTTTTTCCCATTAATACTTAAAAGCTCGTGCATTCCAAAAAGTATTATATACGCATATTTATCTAAACAAACACACAAGCAGTTATACAAATATAAATTTTAATGATCAGAAACAGCTGTAGTTCCTCGGACTAATATTCCTTCTTGATGGGAGAAAAAAGACAAAATGAACCTCCAATGCTGTGCACATGAATGGTGAATATTAAAAATGTGACATTATCAACATTAAAAAATAAACCACAAAAGCCAAGGATCAGAAAATACAAATAAAGAAAGAAGAGATTAATCCTATCTCCACGTCCCTTTGATCCAAATGGGTCAATCTGACTGCATGCAATAGTCAGACCCAATTCCGCATCGTAAGTGAATCTTAATCACCAAGGTTTGTGAGTGGCCTTGGAAATAGGGCAGTGGGAGGAAATATATGGGCGCTGCTGTGAGTAAAGGGCCTGCCGGGTATCTTGCGGCAGTGACAAGGATGAGACATGTGCTAATGACCGACTGGCATCTGGCTTTCCTACAGCTTGCGTCTTTCGTTACCCACCTTCCGACCTACCCACAAGGCCTGCTGCCCACTCAAGACATGCGTTGCGGCTATAAGAAAGGGAGGAGTGAGTGTGTGTGTGGGCTACTACTGCCACTGCTACTGCTACAAGGTACACTTAGAATCCTATGCCTCCACCCTCTAGATTCGATAGCCCTTTTTCCCCACATGCTAGATTTAGCGTTTTGTTTTGTTTGTTTGTTTTTTTTTTTTCAGCTTTCGGGCAAGTCCACGTCGACGCTGGTCTTCTTCCTGAGGGGTCGTGACGGACGTGTCCTTCTGTTTCCTCCTCCCACCTGCTTGCTAGCTCTATCCAGGACATTCTGAATGTGCTGCTGTTTAACTAGAAAGATAAAAGCTACTGTGGACCTCCAATGAAACTTATGCTCACGATTTCACAACCCACCTCCCCTCCATTCCTCCAAGCTTTTGGGAAGGAGAGTAGAATTTCTATTCAATTTTGATGCAGATGGGGACAAGCTCTACGTCGCTCTCTCTCATCCTGGTGATGAAAAACTTGCATGGAACATGTGATGAAAGAAGACCAGACTCATATTACTTGTCAGAGGAATGGATGGAGCTTTTATGCTTATATATATATATATATATATATGTGTGTGTGTGTGTGTGTTGTGTGTAGCTCCAGGCTAGGGACTTGTGTTCATCATCATATTCTCTGCACAAGTAAATAAATTGCACAGTGTCTTTTATTATTATTATTATCTTAAGAGCAGTGTATCTATATTACTTTCTTTTATTCAACATATATTCATTTTTTCATAAGTATTCATACACAATGATTCCAAACTACCTAAAGATGAAACATTTTTTAAGATCAATGAAAACAAAGGGTGTCATCTTCTCATCCCCCCCTCTTAGTTGAGGAGAACCTAACAAAAGCAACATCAAGTCTAAGAGAATAAAAACGTCATTTCAAATAGTTGGACAAAGATTGACAAAAATTGTGGGTAGTGCCGACACACACTGCCATGATCCCACGTGTTGGAAGCACCACACATAGCTCGTTGATGGTGATGCTGGAGCAGGGATGAATTCCAAAACCACATGATATACAAACAAGGAAACAAACATGTCACCTTTCTTAAATACACAAAAAGGGGAGATGCTTAACACAAACTCTAAAGAGGAAGAAGAGTGCATAAGCCTACATCTTATTATGTCCTCTAGTTGAAGTCTCCACAAGTTGGAAAAAAGATTAAACAAAATTAATCAAAATAAAAGGACTGTTCAGATGAATGAGGGTAATTGTTTAGTTGTTGAATTCTTCTCCTGATCCCAACTTCAACATCCTCGTAAGGTTTTTTCATGAATTTTTATTTATACATGAGAGTGGAATCATATTCAACAGATGTACATTTAAAAAATAAAATAAAATAAAATAAAAACACACACACACACACACACACACACTACAAGCATGTTCTGCAAAGTACTCCTCTCTGCTGACCCAATTTTAACACAAACCTTTCAAATCCAGAATTTCATTCATTCAATTTTAAAGAAGTGGATGGATAGATGTAAATAATGTCCATATGCCACTGGGTTCTCATACATGTGAGATGAAGGAAAAACAAAAATAAAATAAAATAAAAAACAACAGAAAAAAAAAACAAACAAACAAACAAAAAACAAAAACAGGAAGGGTGAAGCATCTTCCACCTTGGAGTTTGTAACCACAAGTTATGTCTTTAGGACATTCTTTTGCATCGAGTCCAAGGCAAATTTGAAGCAGTGTGGTACTCCTCCTTGACTGGAGGAATGCAGATACTGCAATCAAACCTCAATCAAAGGGGAACAATTAGTGGCACAAACTCTCACATGATCCACCAACCTTTTAAATATAACACTAAGAATGTACAACATCCAAGGAAAAGATGTGGATCATATGTCATGATCTCAACTCTTTGAGGGTCATGTGAAATTTCCTCCATAGTTTCATAGACAATGGTAATGATCATTATTATTATTATTATTATTTTTTTTTCAAAGCCATTTTATGCAATCAGAAACCTCACTATTACCTTTAAAAGAGCCAGGGACACTTTGGAAAACAGGGCTATAAATACAAGATGGAACACTAGATTTCCACAGCAGTTTTTAAAGTTCATTAACTTGAAGGGAATTGGCAAACCAACTGATGTAGGTATAACACTCAACACATGGTAAATTGCTCCACAATTCACCTCAAGAACTTAGTGGGGTTTTACAATCCTGGATGCTAATGTACTTTACTCCACTTTTTAATCATTGTGGCAGGTATACCTCTTATGTGCCCAATAACATAATAGTGAAAAAACCACACACAGGGATATTGATGGACAAAATCTACCAGGATTCCTCTGTGATGCCATTCATAACAAAAGGCTCCTTCACAGGTTCTCTGTTGTGGGGACCATTTCCAACACTCAATTTTACTTTACGAAGGACACTTTGTGGCTCCAGATGATGCACACTTGTGTTTACGAACACAAGAAGGAACAGAACATAACACAGGAAAGGGAAAAGCAGAAGCAGAAGCAGAAGTACAAGTAGAAGAGACCAAGGTGGAGATCATGCTTATGATGTGGCTTTCTGCAGGAGGAGAGGACTGAATGAGTGTGGTGCCTGAAGCCCACAGCAAAGGCTTGGGGGGGGGGTAGGGAGGGGGGTGGTAAAAGGAAATCCGTGTAAAAAAGCAAGCGATGGAGTAAAATACATGGCAATCAGGAACAACTAAAAAAACAATTTATTTTTTATTCACCTGGATGAAGAGAAAGTGGTGAGGTCACCGGAGGCTTGTAAGTGAATGAACGTGTGGGCTACGGTCGTAGGGCCCACGGAGGAAAGGAAATGACGGCACCACAGCATAGCTGGAACTCGGGCGGGCAGGCAGGCATGGCGGATGATGATGCTTAGTCGGAGGAATTTTCCCGTCCGGTCCGGTCAAGTCCCGGCGGAGTAAGACCACGGCAGCAAACCCCCCCCCCCATTGGGCAGCTAAAGTCCGGGCAGCAGACCCCCTCCCCTCCCCTTCCAGGGGCCATTAGTTGGTGTCTAGGGAGGCGTGTTGGCCGACAAGACGGCTCTACCAGCTTTTGAGCACTCCCCCCCCCCCCCGCGCGGCCCCTTTTATAATCCTCGCCACCTTGCAACCTCTAATCTTCCCCTTTCCTTCAATTGCCCCCTTTCCCTCCTCATCGCACCACCGCGCTTCCCCTCCCCTCCCCTCGCCATCGCCTCCCGTCTCGTCTCGTCCTTCTCTTGCCTCCACCTGCATCTCTACTTAGACACGCGCGCAGGCAGACGCAGGAACGCGCGAACGCACAAGGAAGAAGTGAGCGCATCCTCCTCCAGCAGTCATCATCAGCAGCAGGCTTGCTGAGGCAGTTCTTGCTGGATCGTGGTTGTTGCGCCTAAAGCCCTACGATTCCCCTTTGCTGTTGCTTTCTGCAGGGCTGTGGAGTTTCTGATTGCGGATCAAGACCTTCAGGTACTTGACTGATACTGTTGAGCCATGCGAGAGGGCTCAATCTGTCTCTTTTACGTACATCTTGCATTGGTGATGGATGATGATGTGTGTGTGTGTGTGTGTGTTAGGTGTGTGGTTTTTTGCCTCCAGGGGATGTTCCATGGGAGGGATTGTCCCGTCTGCTCTTCTGTTTTTTTTTTGTAACTTTTTTTTGTTTTTTTGTGTTTTTTTTGTGTTTTGTGTTTTTTTTGTGTTTTTTTGTGTTTTTTTTTGTGTTTTTTTTTTTTTTTTTTTTTTTTTTTTTTTTTTTTTCTTCTGGTAACTGTGATTGCGGCAGGTTGCGGTGCGAAAGATGAATTGTGGACGGTCTTTTTTTATAAAAAAAATTAGTTTAGTTTTTGAATTTGTTTTTGGATTTTATAGAACCAGTAAGTGTCAGGGTCATTGGTCATGCGTCGATCAGTCTCGGTACTGAACATGAACGATCATGTATTGGAATATTCGTGCCTTTTCGGGACTGGTAAGTGAGAGAAGTCGACTGTGTGTCGTTGCGTTGATGTTTGGAGTTTGATTTTGTCGTTCCTAGCGATGAATTTGAGTTCAAGGTAAATCGAGAGTCTTGCTGTGGAACGGGAGGATCAGGAATGTCTGTCTGAAGTGATTTTGGGTTACATGAAGTCATTGGAGTCATGGAATCATGGGTGGTGTTCCTCTTGATCAGTACTTGAATAACTGTGACTGTAATGCTCAATTTAAGGGCCCTAGATATCTTAGCCAACAAATGTTTTCCCTGCCTGCAATATTCATCTAATTTTTCGTTCCTGTGATTTTCCTGAATTTTTCTGTATTTGACTTCCTTATTAACTGTAGCATCCATGCTCCGGGGTTTCGATCGAGTATCCAGTTCCGCACTGTTGACTCTGCAGTTTCTTTCCTGTTCATGGCATTCTTGTAGCAAGCTTGAGTGATTTTTGACGCATGCTCCGGTTGGCTGCTTTCTGAGCTGTCAAAAAGCGGCTGCTCTCTTGACTTCCCATGTCCGAATCAATTTGCCTTCCAGCGATTCTTTTTGAATTACTCAGCGTTGCTCCAGGGTAATCCACAGATATTTTGAAGCATGACTTCTGTCATACACTGCTTGTGCTAGCTTAGGGCTAGAACCATCTGGAAATCACATCATAGTCTTGGGTTGGTGACATTTTCGGTATAAAACAGTTCTTATTCACTTGACAACGCTGTGAATAGTTTCAGGCAGCGAGTAGTTCCAGTATACACTTGGATCGGTAATGAAGGGTATGTTGTAATCGAATACGTGTCTCTTGGAATCGAGCCGAACTGCAGGTCTCTCGCCGAGATTGAGGAGGTTTTCAGTCTGTTTTTTTCGCCAATCTTCAATCGGGTTCAGGTCTTGTCGCCGTGGTTAACCTAACCTCCCGCTTAGACATGGGATACGACCCAGTGATAATGCGATTTTCAAGTCGGAGTTTATGCTTACACACAAGTTTAGGATGTCAGATGAATGCATCATCAATCGATCTCACATGGAGAGGTTGCAAATGCATTCATCATTTTCAGGTCCCAGGAGTGGGGTCGGCAGCTCTTGGTCAGTGGCGCATGATTACGGGCGGAATTCGGATCTGATATTTTCGTCGATTTTCAATACTTTTAGTAGATCTGTCAGTCATTCTGCGTTTTCCCGGTATTTCTTGTTTTCCGTTATCTTCTTTCCGTTTTCCCACTCTGTCATGAAGTCTGGTGTTATGCACAAGCAACCTCGTGACTCCGAATTCTTTCCCCTCGTCCGCCCCTTTCGATCTGACACAGGATCCAGAGTAGCTAATGACCCAGTACGTATTTCTGAGTTCTGGCACCAGCGTAGTTGCCGGTACACTGTCAAAAATGGAACAGTATGTAGGAGCTTAGGTTGATACTGCTGTACTTCTTTTCAACGCGCGTAGCCGCAGGATCTGCTGTCTGGCCCTTGGGTTGCCCATTAGAGTTGTCTGTAGAGCACTGATTGTCGGTCTTTGACGCGTAGCTTCTGGGCGTGGCAGCGCTGAACTGCTTATCTCGTACCTGAAATGCTTACCTTTCGTACAGCCCAGTGTTAGTCGTCACAGACCGAACACGCTGCCACTCACCCAAGGAATCTTCGTAGTGTACAGTACTTCAGAAGTAACAGCATTTAAGAGTGGTCATGACCAGGGAGCATTGTGAACGAACTTGGAAACTTGCAGGAATCTAGGTGTCGTAGATGTTGCAGATCAGTTCCCGGCGCGTAGTGCGGCGTCGCTCCCGGAAGTTCTGTGAAGTATGCACTCATCCAGTCACTTTCTGACTCACATGGAATTCGCGTACTGGACAAGATGAAGTTGATTTACCACAGCAGGTCCTATGGGCTCAGTTGTTGTAATCGATACTTCTCACATGCTTACCTGTGTTGAGCTGTTGGTGCAATTTTGAAAACGATCTTATAGCCCCGGGATCTGTGCCATCTTCATGCTCTGTTCGCCTTGGTTGGTCTCCAGACTTGCGAGTTAGAGAAAACATTGATTGCTTGTGATTCATCTGCTGGAGTTGTCTCGATTGTTACGCAAGTCCCGATTGTGGCATGAAGCCGCAACATCTTCGGCTGAATCGAAAGCGAGTTCTGATGCTGGCCAAAGCTGAGCAGCCTGCAAGGCTCCGGTAAAGATGGTGTTGTAGGATATGAACACTGACCCGTTCCTCTCGGAGCATCACAGGAAAGTACACATACCGGACATGATGTGCGAGAGTCTCCTTTACAGGCTCTGGGACGCGTTCGACCTTCCTGCTTCCGCGTTCCCACCCACATGAAACCCCTACAAAGCCGGGTCGTAGAGTCCAACTTGGCCAGTCAGAAAGGTTGGGGAAAAGTTACTTTGAAAAGCTTCGTCAAAAGTTTTTGTGAAGTTTCCGCATTCTTTTTCCTGTGCCCTTGCAAGGGTCATGAAAGTAATGTGATTTTGTCTTCGCCAAATTAGACGTCTCCGGGTGGTTCTGTCATCAAAGTGTCTGATTTACTTCGCGCTTATGATAGAGTTATTAATAGCCCCCCGGTAGCTCGGGGTACCTTCCTTGACCGGATGATGACGCAGCTCTAAATCTGTAGGTATTGGTCTGCAGTTTGTCTGCACAGAGGACACTACGATTATAAATGACGAGTACCACTTTCTCCAGAAGCTTTCCTCATTCAATTGTTTGTGTCGCGGAAGTTAATCAATGTGTCTGCTTGCTCTCTGAAAGTTTCTAAAGAGCTTTCTGAATACTACATAGACGCACAGTTACAAGTTGAATTGGATATTTTTGGGAGACAGTCTCGTATGATGATTTGTAGGATTCCCTACATAGGTTTGGCCTCGGGATTAAACGTTTCGTTTGAAACTTGTCGGGTCAGTTGGAGTTTGGGATTCAAGTTTTCTGATCTGATTTTGTGCACGGTCTCTGATGAAGGATGGGTTGATTGGTTTGGTATTGTATCATTCTACAGGTCATTGTTAAGTTGGCAACAGCGTGAGAGTAACTAGCTGACTAGTTGTGTGCTTCTGTTGACAGTTCCCAAGACAGGTCAAAGGGGAGTGATCATATCGAGATGACTCAGCCAACTACCAAAGTTCCAGTAGGCTTTAGGTTCCATCCCACGGACGAAGAACTAGTGGGCTATTACCTTCCTAAGAAAGTCACAGCCCGGAAGATCGACCTTGATCTCATTCGCGACCTAGATCTTTACAAGCTTGAGCCGTGGGATCTTCAAGGTCAGTACAAACTCATTGCAGTTTTTTTTTTGTTTTTGTTTTTTTAAAGCAATTTACTCGTTGAAAGATATCAATAGATTCAGAAGTCAGAACAGAGTATAGGATTTGATCAAAAACCCCACAACCTGACATTGAATTCGACTCTGTTCATCCTCATCTAAACATCCGATGGTCTCTTTCATGGAACAGAGCTCTGCAAGATCCAGGCCGATTCAAATGAGAAGCAAACCGACTACTACTTCTTCAGTCGCAAGGACAAGAAGTATCCAACTGGCAACCGAGCCAACCGTGCTACCACGAAGGGCTTCTGGAAGGCAACCGGGCGGGATAAACCCATCCACACCAAGCTCCAGACTTTGATCGGCATGCGCAAAACCCTCGTGTTCTACCAAGGCCGAGCTCCACATGGCGTTAAGACCGACTGGATCATGCACGAGTTCCGCCTCGATGACGGACCCGGCCGACCGGCGCACGAGGACGGTGGCTGGGTGGTCTGCCGCGTTTTTAAAAAGAACAAAAACCTGAAGCTGAAGTTGCAAGAAAAGGCGGTTTCTTACGAGGAGCAGTTGGGGCTTCCATCGGAGCACATGGGCTCTCCGGACATCCTCTCCGGAGGTGCACGGTTTGCGTATCCTGAACAGACTCGTTACGCCGACCAGCCCCAATACGGGTCCATCAAGCAGGAGATTATCAACCTGGACGAGTATCAGTCGCGTCACTCGGACATGTACGTGAACCAGTTCTCTGCGCAGATGGAAATGCCGACCAAGGTGGAGAACCAGAGCCATTCTATGCCGTCCTCCAGCATTTCGGATCAAGCCCGGTCGTATCTGTGCCGCGTCTTAAGTTTCCGGCGACCAGACGACTATCTGAACTTAAACCCCTACCCCGAGACCCCAGCCAACCCAGAGAATTCCACGGAATACACTGAGCCTCAAACCAGTGGAAGCGGAAGCGATGGCGATACTCACGAAGAGGAGTCAATTCTTGGTAACTTGGACAGCGTGGACTGGAGTGCGTTGTTGCAAGAGCCGACGTCTGGGAAGGACTTGCGGTGCCCTACTCCGGTATCGACAAAGGCCAACGCCGACGACATGACAGCGCTAATTCAGCTCAGACGGCAGAACTCGGATATCTTTTCGTCTCTCGATCTTTGGAATTATGCGCATGTCGCCCAGCAGACGTTGTGAGGCTCCTGGAGCGAACGTGTTCATCGATGATTCAAACACACTGATTCAGGTGGAGTGATCAATCAGCTTGCAAAGGTGACACGTCTTGCTAGCTTAATTGAACTCCACCGCAACCAGCTCTTTGAAATCACTGGTCATGGTGATTCAAAGGGTTGGGGGCATTGTACATGAAGATCGATGTAGCCCTTAGAGGCCGGGGCTTTAGCGAGCGCCGAGTTTGACCGAGAGACAGGGACGATCATATGCAGATAGATCTGTACAGATTCAGTCAGTCGAGCTAGAGATCAGACCATGGAGACCGAGAGCACCTTTCAAACCGCCGCACGTGGATCTCCACTCTGGGATATCTGTGCAGGAACTCAAACTGAAGGGTCTCCATTCTTGTTCGGTGGTCGTATGGAGTACATTGAAGCGGTCATTTGAAATCATTATATGATCAGCGGTCTCTCCTTTAAACTCATGGATAGAATGATTGCGCGCAGGGTGAAGAAAGAGCAGGATACATTGTCATAGTTTCCAGTTGCAGAGTCGAGAGAAGTCTTGCACATAACCCTTGCATTGATAGGTTCAAAGTTGCATTGAGAATGTTCAGGTCGAGTGGGGCGTGGAGTTGTACATGGTTACAGAGTCAGATTGCACACAGGATATTGTGAATAATTTGTACACGGAATTTAAGAGATTATCAGCATCACGCCTCGTGATGTGAGGAGTCATGTTTATTAGCAGCATTTTCCACACATTGTGGAAGTTACATTTGTATCAATATATCATCGATTTCTTATTTCATAATGGATTTACATTTTCCTATTTGTGTGAACTCATGCGTTGTTAGACTTTGTGCAGTTTCAACTGTCTGCAAGAGTGTCGGGGTTATCTTTATTGCAATGTCTGAAGTCTGTGAGCTCTGATGCCATTCGGATGTCGGTTGACATGCATTGATATGGTTCCAGGCACGTAAGTTGTTTCTTCAGTGTCTACTAAACTTTATTGACGTAAGTTTCTAGGGGTGTACTTCTCAGTTTGTTTCTATTCCTTAGATACTTATTTAAATTGAAATCATCCCGAGAAATATGACATACCATTCGTCGAAGACTGGGTAAATCCTACACACAAATCAGGGCCTCTCAGTTGCCTCGCTGTTTTCTGTCCGCACTTCACAGTTTTAATGCTACACGTGAATGTCTGCTTCATTTCAATTGATCGCAGCTTGTATTCCACTAGAAGGTAGTTTCGCTAACTATGCCCTAAACATTCAGTTCTGTAAGATCCGATCGACTCGCGGTCTCTGTAAAACTTTGAACTGAAGTTATATCAAAATAATAAGAGTTATGGAAAAACAAAAACAGCACTCGCAAACAAATTTGAAAATTGTAATGGTGCTGAAGAGGAACATTTTGTTCTTTTCTTCATCGATTCCAAGTTTCCTTTTTATAGTGTTTGTCAAATTTGAACATAAAAAAATAAAATACATATAAAAATATTGCAGGTTTCTCATGTTAAATCACTTCACAATTTTTACATAATTGAAGGCTTGTGCAAAGCATTGGCAGCATTGTTTTCTTCGCCTTCGAATTTTAAAGGATTGAGGTTATGTGAGTTGGTAGAGGGTACTAAGTGTTGGAGATGACAGTCAAAGATAGTGTGTCCAAATCTGAGTTCACATTCTACAATCTTATGCCATGTTCATCGACGGTTGGTTATACTTTTGCAGATGTAGTGGTTAGCTATACCCATTTGAATCTCTTTTGCAGTCATCAAAGTCACTAGCAAACTGGGAGACGCTTCTACTTCACAATATATTAGGGCTTGGAAGCTGTCGATTACCGTTCTTTAATTGACAGCCTCTTGATTTCTCAGGATTGTAATGGAGCTACTCAAGTGTGCCCAGGTAGATCAATTGAATAGAACTACAAACTCAATTATTAAGGCAAGACAAAAAGAAAGCTGGCGTTTGCAACTGTATCTGCATTTTAAATTGCACACACGCATCCATTGTGACCTTGGACTAATTTTGCAGAGGGCAAACTCTGCTCATACTAACTTATTCAAATACACCACGCAGTTTTGATGGGCATGCATATACTAGCATCAAACACATCTTCACGCTTTCCTTGGTTCTACTCTTTGAGGAAGGACCTTGCTAATTCCTTAAGCTTTAAAGCAGACGCATTAAATTTTTTGCTTCAATACCTGCTATCCAGAACATCGTCAGGACATGCAACCAGTCCTAACTCTCAGATTCATCGCAAGATGGACCAGCTGCTGTTGACCCAACTAAGAATCACTCAAAGACCATCCAGTGGCTGCCACGTTGGGAAAAGTCCGTGTGTGAGATTTTGCAAAGAAACTTCTGCGTGAATGACAGGCAATAGACTCGCACGTTAGTATCCAAATTCAGTTGCAAAAGCGGTGGCAATCTATGTTTTTCTTAGACCAACTGAAACTAGGAGGTGGTTCGCTCGAAGCTACCGTCACTAGAAAGCAAGTCGGCACAGCGAGGGTTATCTTGGAGCTTATCATCAGAACATGTCATTTCTTCTGTAAAACGCGTGTATTCCCTGTTGGTGAGAGTTTGCCTGTCCTAGTCTAGCACAAACTCTAGTCCACTTTTACAGTCAATTGTGGGATATGGCTCAGGAGCGTAGAAATTCAAAGAAGAATAGCCGCCTTTGATTGTTAATCACGATTGGCGCCTGTAAGCACCCTTGAGACAGTCTATCAAGAGAGATTTCCTGCTGGAATGTGCAGTTCATGCATGATTGATGGGGCTTTAATAGAACCGAAATTATTCGCCTTTAGCCCAATTCGAGGTGCATGGGCTCTAAACTTTTGCCGTTCATACCGCCGCCTTTGTCATCCTCAGCGCGAGATACTGAATTCACATCCACAGTTGCATCAGCATAGGGGTCGCCGAAAATCAATTCTAAGTCGTCGCTAATTCTGTAGTCTCCTTCGAAGACTGCACAGACGTACAGCACAAAGCCGTTCATTGCAACTCTTCCACACAATTATGTTCACAAAAGATTGTTTTTAATACCAGTTACAAATGATGCGGAGAAGGCGAAAGCTTCCAAAGATTTTATGATTGTTGACGCTTTGCAAGAAGATATGTAACCACTTGCAATACCTTTAGAAGTGCTCCTCTCGATGATAGAAAACCTGATAATCTGGAACAGGAAATGGTTAGGATCACACACCACCGTTGATGGCTAATACGGGCAACAATAATAGGTTCTCAAAAGGAGCAGTCATTAGATTTGCTGTCGACGTACCAAACGCAATTAACGGTAGCGTTGAACGTTCCTCTGGTACCATCCACAACCCTGATGCATGTAGAGCTGTTACCTTGTTTCGGCTCAATTGTTCCCACTAAAAACCATGTCCGATCGCTAGGGGAGATTCAAAGAACTAGCTGCCAAAAGGCAGACCAATGAAGCTCACGCGGACTCATAAGCAGGTGCCAACCGCACTAGTCACCAAGAAGCAAATAGTGCAAATACGCAGTAAAAGCCTACAAAACCGACAAACAGTACAATCAAGCTTTCCTGATTCGATTCTGTCTATGTTTTTGTTGCCTTCCTGTTTTGAAGCGGGCATAGAAGGTTTCCAAGCTCCACTTGCATGACGGAACCTCACAAGGAGCGAAGCTCGAGGGCGGAAGAAAGAGAGCTTGGCTGGCACACTGGCCGCTTTCACCCTCCACCCAGAAGCACGAAAAACAAAAACCTGCGACCTGTTTGTTTGTGACCCTCTCCATGCTTTCATGTGTCCCTTTACTCGACACTCTCCGGGGAGCTTGAAACCTGTGCAGCTGGAGCGGACGCTACCACCATGGCAATGGCGCTGCCCAGGGGCTGCACACGCTTGTGGGATTGTGGACATTGTAACGCCTCTGCAACAAATTCAGGTAGATTCTCAACCAGTCTTCTCTCAGCGAATCGCCAACCAAAATTAGATTTAAAACTCGGTGTTTGTGACTGTTATCTGTTGCGAACCTCCACCAGCCATTAATGACTCATCCTACAATCTATTTCAAGCCACCATTTCGAAGCATCGACAGATATTCACTTGAAGCTTTCTGCAAAACCACAACACAGTTCAGCCTGGAATGCGATTCTTCACGTAATGAGCCTTTTCAGTTGGAGACACTCCTCTGTGATGTAGCGAATTGAGGAGTTGTTTTACTTTGCTTTTGTTTGTTATTTGTTCTTTGAAACAGGAGGGGGTATACCCTTTCGCTGGTTGTGAGGTGGAAAGCACGAAGTAAGCACAAGTTCAATTCAAGAAGAGTGCTGTAAAGTACATACATAACACTGTTCTGATGAGGGCTATGTGTCTAATTCACTGTTAAATATTCCTGAAGCACCAACCATGAGTTAAATCAATGGGATAAACCACAGAACAAATTGGCCTTTTGATTGGCTGTCCTAGGTAAGCCCCATACACAATGCGCCATAATAGTTGCTGCTAGAGGGGGGTCTTTTGGTAAAGTACACAGTGATGAGGCTGTCTCTCTTGGTGATTACATTGTTTACAATGTGTTTATTAATTATGGTGTCTCCCTTGCTGTGACTCTAGTCTTATTTGCACTTGCAGTTTGAGTACTCCATGGTTTTGTAACTTGCACTATGTTGATTTTCAAGCAAGCATTGATTTCTGGGCAACAACTATCTGTATATAAATCTCTATATAAATCACATGATTGAATAACTTAGCAAAATTTTTGCTTTCTAATAGTTAAACTTTAAGAATAGTTCCTTGATTAACTTTTTGCACATTTTCCATGACAATGGCATGGATTCAACTAGTGTTCTACAAGGCTTAGATTTTATACTTTTGAGATATTATGCAAGGTTTGTTCATCATGTTGAATTATATAATTCTATCTAAATGACATCTTCCTTCTAATACTTATTATGTTGGTCATTTATACTCTATTCCAAAGTTTTAAAATGTTCATTAAAGTTTTTAGTTATTTCTTAATTTGTTTTTGAATAGCTCTTTACATAATTTTGATGTGTTCTTAGATGTTTGACCAAATCAATTATTGTGTGTATTTGTAAAGTGTTGTTACATTTTCATTAGTCCACATTCCTCATACACAAATGCCTCTAAGCAAAGACCAAAAACTCAATCTATTATATAATGCAAGGAATCTTTCAACAAAAATTGTTTGTTTTCAAGTATTTTTTTTCTTCTAAAGACCTTATTTATAATTGTTTAATATGTATTCTTTTTATACAAATATGTAATTAAAATCCGACTTTTCTTTATACATTCTTATTTCTAAAATTTATAAATATAAATATAAATATATATATATTTAAAAGACCACAAAATTTTTAAAAAATTTTGATTTTTTGATTTTTTTAAGCTTGGTATATTTCTATAGTTATTATACTATAATTCTACATTAAATTCTTTCATGCCATATAAATTATACTAAGATTTTATTTTCTTTACTTAATTTTTTAATTATGCTTCAATATATAAACATAAAAAATTAAAACCATATCTTTGAGCTATTTTGTGCTTCTTTAGTTCTATGTCTATTTTTAAAATTTTGATAGTTATTTACCTATTAGTATTTTGTATATTATATAATTCAAATTTATTTTTTTATTCATAAAATAGAACTTACTTATTTTTTTATAATATAACTTTAGAATTTATATTCAAAATAAAAATAACATCTATTTTGATATTAAAGCTATTCAAGATTTATTGCATGGTATTCTTATAAGTAGTTGTATATACATACATACATACGAATTATAAAGTGTCTTTTATTTTTTTATATGTATTTTAAAAAAATATATAAAGATAAAAAATATATTTTATAAAAAAATAAAAAAATTTACTATCACATTTTTATTTTTAATTTTTTTTATTGTGTGTTTTGGACACAATTATTTTTTGGTGAAAAAAATAAAATATACCTCAAAGAAAATGAGATCACATATTTTTTTAATAATGTGATTAGTTATTTCTTATCAAATATTTATTTTTTTTCCATTTTTAAATTAGAATATTTTTCTTTAAAAAAACATTTTTTGTAAAGGGATTGGTATTTGTGATAATTTTATTACTTTAAATAATATCTTCCTACTATATTCTAATTGCATTAAAAAATCAAAAATTATCCTATCTAATTTTAAAGATACCTTTTAAAGTCATTTTAATGACCAATTTTACTGATTATTATAAAAATAATTAGATAAAGAATTGTTTTTTAAAAAAGAAGACTTTACATATAATATAATTTTTTAATAATGGATATATTTTAGGTGATTTATGAAGATAGTCATGTAGCTTAGAGTAGAATTTAATGTAGAATAATTTCATAAATTCCTAATTTAAAAAAAAATAGCATAGGTTTTGATTTCTTATTACTAAAAAGTCTAAAAAAAGTTCTTTTGTGCATCATCTATCTTATGCCTTCATATTTTATATCCTAAGTTTTTGTCCATCTAATTATTATTCTTTAATTCTCTTTAGTTTAATTTTTATATCACTTAATATCTTTTGATTGACATATAATGTTATATTTTTTTATAATACTATTTGTTTTTTTAAGTACTTCTTTAGTACCATCTTTTGAATTATTTTTTTATATTGATTTGTAAAATTCAAAATGTCTCAAAATATTAAATATATATTTTAAATCTCATAAAAATTTGATTTTATTTTTCTTATTATTTTAATTTCTAACTTAAGTATATATCATAAATACTTATTTTAAAAATAATTTTTAAAGTTGGTACATAGTTCTTTTTTTATTGATGGTACAACAGTTTTTTATTTTTTAAAATTTTCATAAGAAGAATTTTATTTTTAAAGATGTCAATTAATTTTTGTTTTTATTATTATCTAGATAGAAAAAATTTCAAAAACTTACGATTCTAAATTCATTCTTTAAGTTTTCTTACAAAAAATGTTAATAGGTTTTTTAATAAAAAATAAAAAATTGATTAAAAATTTATTATAAAATTATTCAAGTATTTTCTTTTTTTAATTATTACTTCATTATAAGAAAAAAGACTTATGCATATTGATATTTATTATATAATATTTTTTTCTAATAATCTACAGAAGCTACTATAAAATTTTAAAATTGATATTAATCTATAAATAAATTATTTATAATCATAAATTACTATATAAATTGTAGATATGTCCAAAAAATTTAAACATACTTTTAAATAAGATAAGTAATATCTACTTACATAGTAATGCCTCTACATTTATTACTAGATTTTAAATATATCAATAGATAGATTGATATACATATTTATCTAGTACTTGTTTTTTTTGTATCATTGCCATATCTTAGGATTTCTTTTGAGAAGCTAAATAATATTTTTGACCATAAATTTTTATTTAAAGTGTGTTTCTTCTACATATTTTTTATTCATATAATATTAATATGTTACTATATAATTACTTTTTACTCAAATATTTTTTATATTTAAATCTATTTATGATTTTTTAAAATATTTTAATATAGTATAAGATTATATTCTATCTTATATGAAAAAATTGAAGTAGAAAAACATTTAGTTATAAAAAAATTGAAAAGGATAGATAATCATAATTTTAATAATCATTTGCTATAAGATACAAGAAATCTCTTTACATTTTATTTTATGTATGTAGAATAAATAGGATTGAGAACTTATCATTTACAATTCAATTTTAAGATTTTATATTTAAAATTGGATAAGAGATTATTAAAATCTAACTTAAATATAGAATCTTGAACCATATGACATATTTGATTCTTTTCAATTAGCTTAAAAAGATCCAAATATAAAGTTAATTTAGAATTTAAGTTTATTTAGAATAATAATTAGTATAGCTCTAAAGAACATATCATAACAACTTTTATGTAGTCTAACTCTATACAATTTGGCAATATTTCTCTTGGTTAATAAAAACCCTATATTTGTAGTTATGATTCAATAGGCCATTTTATTTTAAAACCAATAATTTAAAAAGTACATGTATATAAGTAGTTTATTTTAAAACCAATAATTTAAAAAGTACATGTATATAAGTAGTTTAGTATAAGCATTTTGTGGTCACAATAAATATTAGATAAAATATAATTAAATAAAATACCACTAACAGGTATAATTTTATAAGATAATTTTTTTTTTTAAACTAAAAAAATATCCTCAAGTAATCATATGGATGTTTCGATCTTTATTTAAGTTAAGTTGAAACTATGTTTTGAATTTAATTTTGCTTTGATTTTTTTCTTATTTTCAATCAATTGTGGTATTATCCTACTATGTCAAGAATATTTACATTTCAAATTATAATCTTTATTTTTTATTTAAGAATTTACCTAAAGACTAAATTATTGAAATGTTGTTGTACCTGGTACTAATAATTTGGAATGTTGTATCACATTTCAAATTGGCTATAGTGGTAGATTAAATTATTAATCTATACTCTATGTATTATGCATGTAGTATTACTTATATAGCATCCAAACTTATACAATAATTATTTTTAGTACCAAAACCATCTCACTTGGTTGGAAGTTTTTATACATATATTATTTTTTTGCATCATTGCTAAACTTAGTATTGTACATGCTAATTCATTTTAAAGAAAATTTCTTCTTTTATTAAATTATGATTATAAAGCTATTAAAAAACTTAATTTCTTCTAGAAAAACTAAAATTAATAGCAAAATTTGACAAGTGCTCTATGATAATGTTATTTCACATCAAAAATCTTAATTTTGTGTGGTTTGAGATAGAAATTGTCTACCAACCATTTATTCTTGGTTAACAAATCTATATGCTATAATAATTATTGTTGTATAATTTTTATTTTTATTTATTTTTATTATATTTTATTTTGTTTACTCTAAAAAAACCATTATTTTAAGGCAACACCACATCTTAAATAATTCCAACTACTATCTCTGAACTAAAACATGAGGTCTTATTTCTAATTATAAGTTCTAGGCTTATAATTAGAAACAGTTCACCTTATAATTAAATAATTTTATTTTGTCTTATAATTGATGATTTTTCATATTTTTTTGCATGCCACTAACAAGAAATAATTATTTGATTTAATAATATAAAACCAATTTTTAAATTTTTATTTAATAAATATTTTTATAGTAAACCAAAATAGTTTAATAAATCATAGATTAATTTATATTAATATTAGTAACGTTTACAGTTTTCTTTTATTCTTCTCTAGAATCAAATACAATGAAATATATGTGTATATATATATATATATATATATATTTACAAATTTTTTTAAAAAATCTTGTCATATTAAGAAATACCAATATTTTCAAATATATATTTGATTCTTTGTATATTTATATTATTTAAAAGAATCAAATATATATTTGAAAATATTAGTATTTCTTAATATGACAAGATTTTTGAAAATATATATTTGAAAATATTGAAAACTTTTAATATATATATTTTAATCTTTCTATAATACTGAAATTCTAATATAAGATAGAAAAAACATTGTTATTAATGAAAATATTGTGTTCGGTTTTGGAAATATACTCAATAATAGTTTTTTAAAATTTTAGAAATAATTTTTTAGAGATATTTTTTTTTATAATTTAGGTGGATTTTTTTTTTTTTTTTTTTTTTTTTTTTTTTTTTTTTTTGTGTGTGTGTGTGTGTATTTAGAAAGGTATTTGTGTCAATTTCTTGAATTGAATATAAATTTCCAATTGTAGATTATGCAATTATCTTGTTAGTTTTTATAGACTATATTATAGTTATTTGTAGACTTTTTATTTATTTTGGTAATAGTAGAATATTTTGCATTCGAAGTAGTAACCTGAATTTGCTAAATTTGATTAATGAAGAAGAATTAACACTAAATTGGATTTTTAGGATAACCATTATTAAAATACACAAGAATAGCACTTATAAGAAATAGGTACCCAATTGGTAATGCATTTCATTCTTGAACAAATCCATCCATTTGGGGTACCAATTTGGGTTCTCTCAAGCCCACTACCCACTAGCTGCCTAAGGATAGCACTCAGATTGGAATAAAAATTGAGATTTAAACTCTTTAGATACCATGGTAAAAGCAAGGTACCTAATCCTGTGAGGCCCAAGAGTTTGTAGTTGACAATCCTTATTCAAAACTTGTAAAAAATAGAATAGGGTGAAAAGGTGGAGAGAGGAGAAAAATCACATCATGTACATTGTGTAAGATATCAAGAATGTAAAATGAATTACCATTAAACAAGTTTTCTGTTGGTATTTTTAATTTATTTAATTTACAAAAGAATAATGTGGTCAAAATCTACCCGATGAGAGTAAATGCCTCAAGACGTTTGAAAATTGAAAAGAAATGTTTACACCATTGCAATGGCTTGTTACAAATGAGTTATTTAATTTTCAGGCTGGGAGCAAATGTCTATTCCTTCATATGGAAATATAACTCCAGATTTAAATCAGTTTACTTCAAGTTTGTCATGTGTATCTCTAGAAATTACACATGTAACATGCAACGAAGTATGGTTTTATACAACTCTACTGATCAGACATGCACTATTTGCACCAAAGTAGGGTGCAGGTTACAGTCATTCCACTTTAATTCTTAGGGTGTACAGTCAGCATGGAAAACAACAAGGAATTTCCTTGTCGCCGGAGCTTAGATGTATTCGTCACATATGATTTCCCCCTCCATTCAAGCTTGCCAGAAATTTTCACTGCTCTCGCTACATGGTAAGTCTCCAGATTGTACAAACATAGTCGTATGAAATAGTCTATGTAAAAGAGTAAAGATCCGTACAATTCGTGTTTTTCATGTCCATTGTCCTCCAAAGATAACAATCAGATCTTCTAAGTTTTGAATTTCACAACAATTTCTAGCTTTTCCTACTACCAGAGCCAAATCGTCAACGACAACAAGAAATTGCTTTAGAACATTGATCCAATAATGGAGAACCTGAGGGGGTTAATATTAGGACATATGATTTACAATTTTCGAAGTATCTTTGCTATGAGTTGGTGCGTCAAACCAGAAACAATTGCAAAGGTTTAAGAAAAGCTCTTGACACTCTAGACGAGAAGGGATGCTCAAAAAGTACAATGTACAAATGCTCGCTTCAGTATGTTACAATGTAAGAGTTTCATACTGTTACCTCAGCAAACTTCAGTGAACGATTTAAACTAGGACAAATCTCACAAGCAGGTTTCTTAGTTTTGAGCCAAAGCATATGTCTTCCTTACATACTCAACAATGTCGTGACTTTCGAACATTGCTGCTCCAGTGTTAGGATCCTCCAGGTATGGCACCTGTATCAAAAGCCGAGAACAAAATTACATTAGTTCCTTCTAATTTAAAATAGACACTCATTACTAAATGATCAGTGCAAGAGATTTACTTCTCAAGACAATCCGAAACAAACACATGCACTTGACTACAGAGCTTGTCATTGTACGTACCTGAAACTTGCCGGTCTTCTGTTTCAGTAGGTCCCTCTTGGCACTTCCTCGAGCACAGCTGCCATAGCCACCCACATACCAACAGAGATTAAATCTACGAGAACTTTACTAGTAAAATTTACACGCAAAACCACACAGTAGCTGTTAATGATATTATAGCATTCGCTTCAAGTACTAATGATATTATAATGTTCAGAACAGCATACAGATAGCCTGACTTGCGCCCACCTGCGATAAACGTGAGGAATCTCGAGCTCACACAAGGCTTCCCTCGCAATCTTACAGAATGGAGAAGACTGCAATTTAAACCCACTGAACCGGTTAAATTTAAGTTTGGATATGCAGTATATGAGATATTTGTAAGATATTCAAATATTTAAGAGAATTCGTAGTTTATGGTGCACAGCTCTTGAACCGAAATCATACAGAGAGACACGTAACACCAAGTTAGGCACTAGAGAGTTTATTGAACTGAAATGTAGTTCTTCCGAAATTTCTGCTGATGATTGAAGAATACAAATCCGTTGTTACATACATTTAAGACACGGTTAATTGGTGCTCCGAGAAAACTGGATAAGATAGATACTCATAAAAGGTCACTAAACGTGAAGGATAAAAGTAACATACCTCATAAGCCCACAGTACTAATGGTTTCTCAGGCAATTTAGCGGGTACATATGTGGAGCCCTGCAAACGGAACAGCAAACCAGTAAGGAATACTTGGATAATCTTCAATATAACGCAGGTTGCAACACGCTTGAATCCAGGTGTAGACATTAATTACCTAGGACATAACATCACAATACAATGTATGATCATTAAAACCTCATTGAGATTAGGAGGGATAGTCACCTTTCCCGCACGCCCAATTAGAGCAAGGCCAGCTGTTATTGTCTGCAATCACAAAGGATCCACTACACCAGTTACACATGAGACATCGATTTCCACATAGGAAATACCACCAACTTCCATTAACACTTCATCTACACTCCAATTTGTACCAATCGGAGATATCTGAACAAATATCTATGTTGGACATGTGAAATGTAACGGTGTTCATTCCTTTACGATCACACCAGTTTCCAAGTATAATAATGTGACTCAAGGGTAAACATAAGTAGGAAGGCCAAGCTGATGCTGCTTAGGGTGTTCGGACTCAATACCGTCAATGCACCGAGGTTGAGCATAATTGGCACTTGTCCGTCACCTGCACAAAAATCCAGCCGCTAAGATCCAACCCCGGGTGTTCATTCGAAGGATAATATCTTCTACTGGTGACAGCAAGCAGTTAACTTCGACGCAACAAAATAAAGATTGTGTTGCATACCGTATTTTTCAACTAAATATTTGATGATGTCGTCAGATTCGTACATGGCAACATTTGTGTTGGGGTCAACCTGACATTCATTCAAGTACCCTTTTTAAAAAAACTATCTAGTGCAAGTGCACCACTTTTCTGTGTAGACACATAAAAGCCAAGGATAGAACTAATAGTCCTCAATGTATAACAGCAATACTGCAACACATAAATAATGAGCACAGTCTGATCCATAGAATCCCGACCTCCGACGAAAAATGAACGCAGACAAACTAATTCTTACTGGAGATTCACGTTTAAACATCTACATAGCAACAGTAGGTAACTTCAGGTTTCGATTCAGACCATGTAAGGAAATTGCTTCTTTCCGCCCATCTCATTAGCCTTTGGACGGAAGTTAGGACCATTCTTCGGACATGGGTAGAAGATCACATCGATGTCCAAGATGGAAACTATCTCCCTCACCTGTTCGTGAATCATTCTAGTAAGGTCAATCAAGCCTTTCTTCCCAGCACATTCTGCAGTTCTACAAGAATTACTAATGCAACTGCTAGAAGAGCTCAGGACTACGAGTACTGTAAAGATAACAGCTCCTTCTACTCACGAACCGATCAGGGGTCACAGGTGTAAAGATACTCGAATAATAATGCTCGATGAAAATCAAATCTAATAGAATTTACAGAAATGTGCCCGAAGAAAAACCCAAATGTTTGAAGGAAATCAATGATTTTATGACAGCGATAAATACCTTTCGGCAAAAAGGACAACTGGAGTAGGTCAAGCACCGGTCAGTGGGCGATGATCATGCATTCAAACACCCAATAATCAAGAACAGTCAATAGATATACCAATTCGTGAAACTACTGCGATAGATACATTTAACAAGATCCTCAATACTTGAAGGTAGGGTTTCCATCCTCTCAGGTTTGATGTAGATGTCACTAGAAATGGAATTATCCATAGAAAACATAGGAAAGAATCTCAGCCTTATATAAAACAATTTTAATAATAAAAGCTGTCGCATAGTCAACAAACAAAAATCAGATGGCTTGAGAACTAGGGATAGAAATCATACCCTTCAAACTCGTAAATCTCAATGGGTTTTTCAGGCCTAGGCCCTGGATTGGCGACCTCCACAAACTTGCGCCCTAGAGAACAATCAAACTTTTAATCAGGTCAATTGGGTTTCAAGTTCGGACATCTTACTTTCAATGGCGACGTCAATGCCGTTAGCACTTTAGTAAGACAACTTGTTTCTCTAGGCAATTTAAAGTAATATTTGATACTCCATTTGAACAAATGTAAGGAGCAAGAAGATGCTCGATTCAGAGTGGCAGCGATCGTATTAAAGCCAAACGTCAGAAGTCTTTCAGTGATGTGTAATTCAGATACGCTTAAAAAACTACACATAGCCTGATCCGAGGAGATATTCACAGAATCATGAATTTTTCACAACAGGTTTCCGGCACCAGACAGGGGAATTCAACCATGAAAAACACAAATATTACAGAATTATACTAATTTCAGTTGTACACAGAATATCAGGGATCGTAACTATACCTGCAAATGGAATAGCATATTTGTCATCTCCAACTTCTGCTGCAGGTTTATTCTCTACTTTGTATCTGCAACGTTCAGGAAGTGCAGCCATTCCAACAAAAAAAAACCGATTCTCAGGACTTCCTCTTTACCCAACAATCAAAGTCCTTAGACGACTCTAATTCCTCACATAATTCAAAAAAAAAAAAAAAAAAAAAAAAAAAAGAGACGAGAAGGAAAATTGTAGCCGTCCAAGATTGAGAAAAATCCACAATGCAAGTTCCAAGAGCATCACCAACACCAACAGTAAACGCAGCGCTTACCCTTTGACAAGTGCGCCAGAACCCAATCGAAAAGGCACATTTAACGAGCCCCCCAATACAGCACCAATCATGTCAGACCGAACAGTGAACGGCCCACCCTTAAAATCAGAGTTCACAGTCGTCTCCGACGCAGGAGATGGCGCTGGTGCCGGAGTCTCCGCCTCAGATTCTGCAGTACTGAGGTTAGAGTCTTTCTGCTCGGCCCTCACAACGCTCACAGACTTCCTGAAGCTTGATGTGCACTGCTTGCGGGGTAATGCAGACACAAGCGACGGCACAGACGTCTTTGCGGAATGCAACCACGATGTCGAAGTAGCGCCCGCCATGGCTCCAATTCAGAATCAATGGATAATAATTCAGCAACAAGTGTGTCTCAATTAACTCGATCAAGCTTCCTCTGAGTGAAAAGCCCAGCGTTCTGCCCTGCAATACAAAGCACAAAACCTCATCTTTGACGAACTCAAACGAGCTCGTGCTTCATCAGCCCACAACCCACACAACCACAGTCCGCGGTAGACGTGGCGTGACTCGAGACGCTCTGACAGGTAAAAGATCATAGTTGGCATCGAACTCTGCGGGGGTGGCATCCCATTCGCTAAAAGCTCGGGTTGTGTACCCTATTTGGACCTCAGATTTCTGTACTACGTGGTCTCCTGGGATTAGTTCGAACACTTCGCTGTTGATAGAGGACGGATTGCATCGTCCTCCGAAGGTGGTGATCTTTCTTCCGCAACGTTCTGAGAAGAAATTGGGCTGACAAAAATTGACGCCTAATTCTCAATTGAGCTAACAAGCCAAAAGTCATATTCATTATATTTTAATAACTTCTGCATTGGCTTTTTGCCTAATTTCAAGTGGAGTTGTACAAGATCCGCTTGACCAAACAACCATAGAGTGAAGAGTGTGATTGTGAAGTGGACAAAGGATACTAGCTATATAATTGGTGGAGACAAAAAACTAATTAATCTCTCAGCTTTCACACTAGATACAAACAACCAACAAACATTTTGGTCGAAAGTGCTAAACCAAATGACCAAAATTATTCCCATTTGGGAATACTTTCCTGAATTCCCGTTACTGCACACATGTGCAATGCAGGAAAGAATCCACAGAAAACTCTCAAACTAAAGAAAAAATGGATTCACTTTGTACAACTTGCAGTTGCCTGTATACTCATCAATCTGCAGGATGAAGTTGCTCTGCTTCCCACCGCATGTGTAGTTCGTGTTGAAACACGACAGGTCCCGTCAAGTTTCGAAGACAAAGATCTCATGAACGTGTCACAATGCTATGTGGAAATCCAAACCTCCTGCCTCCTGAACAAACGTAAGGCAAACGATCTCACCAAGAGTCCATTCGTCATTGCATAGAGATTCAACCTATACAAGTGGCACATGTTTTTCCATTATCTTCATTATTTATTTTATTCTAGAAATTTTCCTAATCTACAATGCCAAGTTTTGGAGTTGTTGAGAGCATTAAATGGAGTTGTTGAGAGCATTAAATGGAGTTGTTGAGAGCATTAAATGTAGTCAAAGCTCTCCACAATATTTACTATAGTTTACAATAAATATTATAGCTATAATATTTGAAATGTAGTGGAGAGAAACTATTTATCCTCTCCCCTTCTCCTTTTGTATACTAGAGACAATCAGATCAATAGATTTTTTGTAAAGCTCTCTCTTTCCTTAAAAACTCTTTGTATGTGTATTACTTACTACTATTCTTGTGTCTTTCTAAACATTCTCTACACATTATCAGCACGATTTGCTCCTATATACTATTGCAATTTTTTGCTGCAATCTTGACTCTTAAAACCTATTGCTATTCTTGCTCTTTACATGATTTTTACTACTTTAGTATATGTCTCATGATCTTGTTGTACTTTTGGTTAGCCCCTCACATCTTAGTTGCTTGCTAGACTGCCTTGCCTTACCTGCTTGCTCAGAGTACTTGCTCCAACCCTGCCTCCCCGTTGTACCCCGTGCCTACTGTTGCTTGTTGCTGACACTGCTTGCTGATGCCATCACTACTGAGTGCTATTATTGCCATGTTGCTACTGCTCCGGTGCCACAAACTACAATCTTGTTAAAAAATAAAATAAAATAATTAATTAATATTTTTGATTTCAAGTTCAACTTTATCATTTTACTTGAGTTTGTATTTTAAGGTACATTTTATTCAACTTTTTTACTTGATCTTATATTTTCTTTACAGATTTATTTATAATAAGTACTTCAATATCTTCAACTGCTTCTAATATAGTTCTAAGTATTATCACTGCATCACAATATTTTCAAGCTCTTCTATTTCCACCTTTGACTGTGGATGGAAACAATTATCTATTATGGATAAAAATGCATGTCATAATTGGACACATTTATGTATTTTAGATTTTCTAAATTTAAATACTTTCAAGAGTGAAATATATAGTATTGTCTCACAATTATGATTATGTGGACAAAACATCTCTAAAGAAGAAATAATTGAAATAACTCTCTCTACATTTCCTCCTATATCTACTAAGTTTGCACAACAATATAGGAATATGAAATTTCAGAGTCATTTTGATCTCATGTCCTATCTACTTTTTGTGGGGAAGTAAAATGAGCTATTCTTGCGTAATGTGGAAGCTCATCCTATTGGAACCATAGTTCGAGAATTTCATGCACTTAATATTTCAAAGTCTAAGAAAAAATTATATAAACATGGAAAAGATGCTCATAAGCATCAAGGCAATCATAGTCATGACCATTTCTATCCATATGAAAAGAATAAATATTCTACTATTAATTATAATAAAAAAAAATTAAAGATACATTCTTATCATAAATATGGAATGATTGGACATTTAACACATGCATGTTGTACTTCAAAATATTTTATTAAAATATTCCAAATAATAAGAAACTACGAGTTGAGGCTTATGAAGTTCATACCATGGATGCATCCATGGATTCAATTGGTGTTAATGATTTAGAGGCTTATATGAATGACAAAACCTCTAATGATGAATCAAATGATGTACTCATTGATTCTGCAACAACATATATTCTCTTGCGAGATAGTGAATTTTTTACTAAAAAATCTTCAACTTGGCAAACTAAAAATATGATGACCATGGCTAGAGCAAATACATTTTGTTTCCAACAGGGAACAACGATGGTAAAATTCCATTATAAAATATAAACATATGATGTTTATACCTTCAACATCTCGAAGTTTGATCAGCTATCGAAATAAGCATATCAATGGTTATCACTTCTTGATTGCCATTTTAAATTAAAAAGAGATTTTGGTTCTTGTGAAGAACCATAAAGTTATTAAAAAAGCTTTTTTTTACAGAAAATGATTTATATCGAATTGCCATTCCACCTCCCATTATATTTAATTTTGCATCATCTATCATAGTAAGTCATGCTTCCCTCTAGCATAGACGATTGACACATCCAAGATCTACATTATTTAGAAAGATCATTCCATATATAACTAGGCACAATTTAAAGCCTGTAGATGTAGACTCTATAGAATTATGTCATGCATGCGTACAAGGCAAGATGATTATTTGGCTTTCAATTTGATAACTCCCACAAGAATTACCACCAATGCTTGAAAGGTTGCATGGTGATATTTGTGGTCCTATTAATCCAATATCAAAACCATTTCATTATTTTTTGGTCTTTCTTGATGCATCAGGTAAACAATCATATGTTTCATTATTATCAATCTAAAATATGGTGTTTGCCAATCTTATATATATGTTTTTCTTAATTATTCTATAAAAAAATTGCATATGGATAATACAAAAGAATTTGCATCAGAGTCTTTTGAAGACTATAGTACTGTAACAAGAATTGAATTGACATATTGTGTTCCATATGAACATGCTCAAAATGGACTTGCAGAGTCATTTATAAAGCATATATAACTCATTACCTGGCCACTCCTCCCTCATACAAATTTACCTACATCTATGTAGGGTCATGTAGTTTTACATACTACAGCATTAATACACTATGGTGTTGTAGTTTGGCTACTATATGAAAATAATGTGATTATGTATTTAATATATAATTTATTAAGTAACATGGTGAAAGCCATGTTAATAGATTTTAGTTGGTTGTAGAATATAATTTGATTATTACCTTGAGAAGAGGTTGTTTAAAAAGATTATTATAAAATTTGTATAACTTTAATTTCCTTTTGATAGTGGCTTTTAAGATTGGTTTTGGTTGATAGTAACTTCTAAATATTTAGAGTCACCTTTGTTAGACATTGGTGAGATTTAAAAACTTATTTTGGTTCTTTTATTTGGTGTTTAGAGCATACATTATGTAAATCTTATAAGAAAAAAGATTGAAGAAGGATTTTGGTAGCAAAGGGAGTAATTAGGGCACCAATATAGATGAATGGAGATGAATGATGAAAATCTCCATTCCTATTGGTCAAAAATCATGACCAATGGGCTTTGAGGAGGCTACCCGAGGCCATATTAGGGATTAGGGTTAGTTTTTTGGACCCATTTGAACTTTGAAGACTAAGGTCAGTAATTTTAGATTTTTGGCTATAGTTTTGGTACAAATCTTGTATGGTTTGGAATTTATATGAAGGAGATATAGGCGCTCAAAGTTAAGGTGTTGATTTGGGAGCTACTATTACTCTTTTTGGCATAACGCACGCGTACGGACAACAATTGAGGATCAGTGATTGTGACTGGATAGAGCAATTTTGTGGCTATACTTTTTATATACTGCTTGCTGGATTCCAAGTTGGAATGAAGGATTTATTAAATTTTGAAGGCACCACATGCAATCTAAGCGTAGTAAGTGACCCGATTTACTAGTGGTTGTGTCTTGAGCTATATCTTAAGCAATTTGACAAGGTTTTCACTCAAAATTTCAGTAAATATGTAATTTTATGTTTGTAAACTTTGTACATAAGTTTGATGATATTTGAATATTGGATTCTTGAGATATTAAGAATATAGTGCTCAGGTGCTTGTAAATTAGGGTTTATAGTATCTGCTAGGATTTCTTAATTGCCAAAAGATTGGAAGTGAATTTATAGTTGGATTTTTTGTGATAAAATATAAAGGTGATTTCTACCTATCTTATAAATTTTAGACAAATTGAATAATTAGATCAAGAGTTATAAATTTCTAAAGTTCAGAAAGAAAAAATCCTTCACGGAAAAAATATGTTTTGAAGGGATTTTATTATATTTTGAATTTTATGCAAATCAAAGCAGTTTTGGAAGCTAAGTCAAGTTTCATACAAAGATTGAAGCTAAATTCTCTATAGCTAGATATCCACTATATTCTTAGATAGCAAATCACGCCATACGACAACGCCTCTGCCCTTCTTTTCTTAAAATTATTTCACCACATGAGCTTATTTTGGATCATATTTCAAATGTATCTCACTTATGAGTATTTGGTTGGTGTGGTTGGATTCCAGTACCAAAACCTCAATGGCGTACCATTAGAACTCATCGACAAGAAGGCATATATGTTGGTTTTGATTTACTAAGCATTATTCATATTGTTCATCTATCAACTGGCACATTA